AAGCCACCCTGTTTGTTGTCAGTTAAGAGTTTTGTTTTTCTGTCCCACCAGCATCTGCTGATCATGGAGCCTGTTGCATATAGCAGGATTGCCTTCTGCACAATGACTTCCATCTTAGGTTGATTTCTTACTTACAACCAGGCTGTATCTGTTGCTCTTTGTTTGATGCAAGGTAACTTTGGTTCCTCTCGAGGTGGTTTACCCCCTTGCTCAAGCATCCATCCAACCTCTGCAGGGACTGGATGCCCATGTGGATTGAACAGTTGTGTGAGCACTGCAGCTTGCACTGATGTGTCACTCTGCCTTCGTGTGGAAAGCAAGGCAAGTCCCTTGGAAAGTGCCAGCTGGCTGTTTGTGTTTCCTGTTGGCACAAACTTTCCATGTGGCTAGAGGAAAAGGGAGAGAGGCCTTCTAGGGCCAGCAAAGCAACTGGATAAAAACTTTGCTCAGGCCGTCTTGCATAAGACCAGGATGGTTAATCAGATGGTACAGCACAGTGAGCTATGCTTGGACTGCTGAGAAGGAGCTTAGATCTGGCTGACAGTTTCATGAAGTTCAGGTGGGTGAGGTCAGAGAGATCTGGAATACCAGGGATTGCAGGGGAAAATTCAGTGGGCAGTTTGCCCCTGTGGATTGCCGCTTTACAAACACTTATAGATGCTTCAAGTACATTCTGTCATCTTTTCTTACTGCACTGCACTGTCACACTAGGCAAAGTCAGGCTGTGGCAGTGTCACTGGCTGGTGTGAGAGCAGCGTAGCTGCCATCGCTGTTCTTATTTCTAGGAGTGTTTAGAGGACAATAGCTTGATCTTGTAACTTGTGCCTTGAAAAGCCTCCCTGCTGAGAGTGTATCTTAGTGTTTATTGCAAAGTGTGTTTCATGCTACTTTTCTTTTCCAAATGTTTCTAAGTGTTAGTGGTACTTTAAGGAGAAGATGCCAGTGTCCGCTAGCAGTGATGGAGATGAAAGACGTGCTTCTTTGGATTGCTTTCTGGAGGAAAATGGGAGTAAGACATTGCTCTGTCCTGAGGAATCACATCCTCAGTGGGAGGCAGAAAAAATAACGCTCCAGTTCAGAAAATTCAGCCTTGAGAGACAGAAGGCAGTAAAATCAATGGCAGTAAAAAAATGAAGTAAAAATAATAATGAAATATTTTAAAAGAAATCCCGTTTTTAAGGCCTCTAACCTAGAAGATGTGCAAATGGTATTTGTTGTATGTGGGGGGAGGAGTGTTGCAGACTCATTCACTGAAATCATTGATGAAATAATTAAAGGTCACTGTTGAGGGATTATAGAACTAAAAGAGAGATCTGCCTTGGGTGGAATGTCATTTATGTGCTTCACCAAATTTATTAGCTTTTTATAGGGCCAGGAGAGAGATTACAAAATTCTCTCTTGGGTCAGTTCAGATTATATGGGACTGTGCTCTAAACAGTTTATTACTCCCTGAGCCATTTTAACGTGTGTTCTGAGTCTTTCAGGGGGAGAGCGGGCAGATAATTGGAAAACCTTCATCAGAAAGAATCCAGTAGCTGTCAGACAGATCCTGACCCAGAACCGCACAGTGACAGAGGTTTGGTAGCAGGCTGAGAGATGGGACTTGGTTTGCCTTCACTGCACTTACAGCCTCACAGAGTTACAGTGTCAGGAAAAGCTCTTTTGGTTTTGGGTGAGATAGGTAGGAGTCTGAGCAGCCTTCCCAACCAGACGTTCCCTCTGTCTGATGGAAAGCCCTGGTCATGCTGGATGGAGTCAGCTCTCCTGTCCTTTCGTGGTCCTACGTTACTCTACTGCTCACCTCTTACAGTTACATAATTGGTGCCTTCCACTGGTCCTGATGCAGTTCCAGATGTCTCAGTATGTCATGTTGTTTTGGCAGTCACTCGCACCCCCCCCCCACACTACTGGAGCAAATAATGCTCCTGTACCACAGAGAACAGCCTGTGCCTGACTGCTTCCCATCGCTCTCTTTCCAGGGAAGATTGTAGAGCCATCTTTGCTCACCACTAGGTTAGGATGCGTTTTTGTGTAGGGAAGAGCTGGGAAGAGCATCACTCTTCCCATTCTACCTTCTCGACTCACAGCTACTGGATCTTCATCACCACACTCCTGGGGGGGTAAAGGCTTTTAATTCGTGACATGTAGATGTAGTGCTTGGGGACAGTCTGGTGGTGGACATGGCAGCATTAGGTTTACATTTGGACTCGATGATCTTGAAAGTATTTTCCAACCTAAATTATTAATTCTGTGATTCTTCCTTGGTGCACCTAGCAAGGAGGTCCCAGTCACCATCCATGCACATTTTCCTAAGGTTGCCATTTCCAGGGGAAATACAAACAAAAAACTTTTTCTTTCTACTTACTGCCAGTTCCTCAATAAATACCATTTGGGCATCATTATGGCTTAAGAACTCCTAAATGGAAAGTTCCTTTTCTGGAAAAGGAAGTTCAGGTAACATTGCTGTGTATTTGGAAAGATGGGTTTATTTCCAAAAAAGGAGGAAAACTGAGGCTTCTGGATCCTGAAAATTCCAGTGTGGCAGAAATAAGAAAAATAAGAAGATACAAACCAACCAGGGCAACTGTGAAGAGTGAAGTGTTTCTTGGGACAACTCCCCTTCTGGAGCCCAAACTGAAATACGCTGACAGCAGAAAACACTATGTAGAACTTAAATAACATTAGTCTGACCCTCCTGTAAAAGCTGGTCTCCCCTGCTTCCTGTCTGCCCCAGTAGTTGTGCTCCTGATCCCTTTTGACTGCACATACTGAGCAGCAGGGACTTCATCTCACTGTAGATCACCAGAAAGTACTGAAGCAGTGTTGTGTGGTAGTGTGCAGTGCTGGAGTGTGTATTTGTATTTGGAGCTTATTTGTGTGTGTTTTATAGGCAAAAACAGTTGTGTGGTAGTGTGCAATGCTGGAGTGTGTATTTGTATTTGGAGCTTATTTGTTTGTATGTTTTATAGGCACAAATAGTTGCTTTCAGTTCATTCAGTGTATTTGTGGCATTTTTTTTGCACTCCTTGCTTTCAGCAATGTAGAATATAATGAGAGATAACTGGAATTGTTTATGGCCTTTTCTCCCCAAAGCAGCTGAGGCTCCCATGTGACTAAGATGAGTTTGTTAATTGTCAGTTTGCTTTAATGTAATGTTTCAGAAGCTTAATCTGTTGTTGAAATATTTATTCTGCTGTTGTTGTTCCATTACTTTCCATTGTCTTTTATTCATAGGGAACTATTCCAAGTGAAAAAAAGTATATACGTAAATTATATTTTACATGCACATGTGTGTATATTTAGAGATAAATTGATAGGCAATGTAAAACAAGGACATTAGTAAGGCCATCCCATAATAACATAAAACACCCCTTAGCATTGGCAGCTTTCCCAAGTCCTGTCTGCAGATGGTCCCAGGTACAGCCAGGACAACGGGTGATTTTCCTCTCCACTCCAAGGGATTCACATGGGTGGGTGCCTTACAGGATTTCCTGTGCAAGGTGTTGGCACCGGGCTTTGCAGTCTCCATGTCGCTGCTAAATCGGTTTGAAAGTACCTGACTGGTTTGTAAACAGTGCCCTGGTGTTCTGTGAGCCAGCAGGGGTGGCCAGGGCAGTCATGTGTGCAGTCCTGAAAAGACTTGGTTTGAGCCTTGCTGTAAGACACAACAGGCAGATGAATAACTGTTCCAAGTTGTATTCTGAGTTCAGTGCATAGCATCATGGCATTTGGGGCAGGCTCTACGGGAGGCAAAGGAAGCGAGAACACCAAGGCCCCCATTCCTGCCCGGAGCGTGGCCATGTGCTTTGAGGGGTGGCCCCGTGTGCAGAAGCTGCCTTTATCCTGGCCCAACTGTGGTTCTGTTTTCGTGTGGCTCTGCTTAGAATTAGACTGGAAGTGTGCTCCTAACAATACAGACAGGTATTGTCTGGTGGTTGCTGAAGGTTCCATGCCTGAACAAGAACCTGTATCCATACAGGCTGGCAGGTTTGGTGGCATTGAGAGTATAAATTATGCATGCTTGAAATGAAGTGTATTTTAGTAGCAGATAGCTGAAAAGCCTTGCAATGTACTCCTAATTCAGTGGCATTGCCTTGAGCTGCTCCGAGGCCTCTTTTTTAAATTCAGACATTAGCACAAAGCACACCTCTGACTGCAGGCATTTAAAGATCAACAAGGGCCGAAAAAGCTTTTAAGATCCAGTGAAACCAGGAAAACAACCATGTTGCCTTTCAGTGTCAGGTTAGATTGCCTTCTTATGAGTGCAGCTATTTCAGGTACAGAGTGCTTGGTGGTTTGGGTCTTGTTGTGTGGGGAAAGTGTTGCCCAGAAAACATCTGTTTCCTTCACCTGCAAACCACAATGTGCTGTGAAGAGGCAGGACTGCAGCCACAGAGGCCCAGGGGGACGAAGGAAATCTGGCTCAAAGGGATAAGCATGGTTTTCTGAAACACGGTATCAAAAAGAGCACTTAAAAGGAGAGAATACTTTTAGAGCACACGATACGCTGCAAATTGGGGAGGTCAGATTGCTCTTGAGCTTGAAATTCTTCCTGAGTTGCCAGTGCTGTTTTCTTAGCAGCAGTATCTGTGTCCTGCTCAGAACTGCAACGTGAGGAGTTTGTTTTCTTCTTCAGCAATTGTGAAATATTCTGCTTTTCTGTAAAATAACAGGTTGTCTTCTGCATTGTCGGAACTCTGCATGAGCAGAAGAGCTGCTGCTTTCCCTTCTGTGCTCATGTCTTTGTTTTTATCGTACCATTACTGAAGTTCAGATGTAGCTCAACATACGTACTGCAAGTGCAGAACTACACCCTTGACTTGTGAAAACCTGGATAGTATATTTTAAACCAACAGTAGTGTATTAGTGTTGTGTGTTGCCAAATCCCACCTGGTCTTCTGGCCTAAAAATACACAAAAGGTAATGCTCTGGGCAGGGTGGAATTTCAACTGTTTAATCAACTAAATGGTCTTCTAACAGCTGCCTTTTTGTTCTTTCAGAGGATGACATGAATAATTACATCAGTCGCTACTACAATGAACCAAGCAGTGGTAAGTTTTGCTTGATTCTTGTAAATGTGACCTGTGTTTTTACGCTGCCCTGTGTGCTGTAAACCAGGTAAGGCTGAACAGTGATGCAGATTGATCCATCAAGGATCCATCCTCAAAATGAAACCCACCATGACATCTGTTGGTTTGCTCCATGGAAGATTGTACCTGAATAGTAATTCTCTAGTGGCTGAAGGCCCCAAAGTTTGCTCCTGCTGAAGGCGTTCATGGTAGCTTGGAGCTCTGGGAGAGGTTAGTTCCCCCGAGGTAGGCTGTCCAGGCTGCAGAGAGGTACAGATGGACCCGAGAATGAATGGCAGGGACAAAACAAAGGCAGAGAAGTGGAGCGGTGCCTTAGCCCGGTGCTGTGCTGGTTGGCCTGAGTGGGAAGAGCCTCAGCAGCGGGCATGGGCCCTGACCCGAGCTCCAGTTCAGCCCCTGTGGTCCTGCTGGCACAGGGGCTCTCGGCAGGGCTGTACAGGCAGCAAAGTGGGGAGCACCTCCCTACCTATAGAACACTTACTAGAGAGAGAGAGAAGTGTGTGTAGGTATAATGTATTATTGATGTGTATCTGCACATATACACAGGGATATATAAATAGTATGTCTGTCTGCATATACACACACACACATATGTCAAATACGTATATGTGTGTACATGTATGCATATAATGTATTATATGCATACAGCCCATACATACAGCCCTATATGTAGTATGTGTACGCACACTGAAATATAATCATATATAAAAAGATACATATATCTATATAAAGATGTGTCTGTGTATAGACATACATATTAAATAGAATAAAATGTAGGTATATGTGTATGCATATAAATCTATAATGTATTATATTTTCCTATCCTACGTATATACACAGAAACCCAGATACAAGTATCTATATATAAAAAGATGTAAGTAAAAATACATACTTTTGTACATATACTTGTACAATGTATCTCCAAACACATGCATCCCCATAAATCTGAGAAGATTTATACACACAAAACAGGTATGTGAGTGACTCTATATACATATAAAGGTGTGTGTGAGAGGCTATGTCTGTATATACATAGATATTTATCTAAATATAAATATTAAATACACTAAAATATATAAAGATATATGTAAAGGGTGGGGTTGTGGGGGAGGAGGAGGGCTGGTCTCATGTAAAAATGTATGTATATGTAGAATGTATTATATATTTATAACCCCATGTATTCATGCACACACAGATATATGCATATCTAGAGATGTATACGTAACATAAGAATAAATGAAAGTGTGTATAAGTGTATGGTAGTTAACACATATATGTGTATAATGTATCATATATCTATATCCTGGTAGATATATCACATTGATATACAGGTGGAGATATATATATATATATGCTTATTAGAGACATCTGTTTTTTCATGTATGTATAAAAATGAGACGTGACAAGTGTCTGTGTGTGTATGTATATATGTATTATGTATTATAAAATCTGAATGTATGTGTGTATATATATAGTTATGTCATATATATCTCCATATAGATGTCCACATATATTTGTAGATATATGTGGTTATACATTGAGGTATATATGTCTACATATGTTTCTATATATGTAAAGATCTATAAAGGTGTTTGTGCACAACTGTGTATATACATATTTTATAAGTATTATAAATATGAATATGCATTTAGATATGATTTATATACATTGATATATATACATAAATGTCTGTATACATAAGTCTAAAGATAAGGGGGGACTGTGTATGTATGTATAACCGCATATGCATAGATACGTTGTTAAATACAATAAATATTAAAAGGTCTGTGTGTCACTGCATACTTCTATAGTATGTATAAAGTGTGTGTATACATGTAGAGGTATTATGTCTGTCTCCATATAGATCCATGGGGTTATAAAAACACATTTGTATGTGAAGATATAAATACATGCATGAGAGGAACTGTTTATCTACAGATATTTAATACATATAAAAAGTGTTTAAGTGACTGTATATACATGTATTTTTAATATGTACAATATTCTTTACTGTAAGGGTGCTGAGGCACTGGAATGGGTTGCCCAAGGAAGTTGTGAATGCTCCATCTGTGGCAGTGTTCAAGGCCAGGTTGGACAGAGCCTTGGGTGGCATGGTTTAGTGTGAGGTGTCCCTGCCTATGGCAGGGGGGTTGGAACTGGATGATCTTAAGGTCCTTTCCAGCCCACACCATTCCATGATTCTATGTATTTCATACAATACAGATACATACATGTGTGTATCGTGTATAGGTATAATGTATTTTATATATATAGGTATAATGTATTTTATAAATATAGGTATAATGTATTTTTTATATATTAATTCCCTGTGTAAATATTCCCCCACAGAAAGGAAAAATGATGGGGTGTGGGAGTGTGTGTATATATATCTTATTTTAAAATTAGTAAGTTTATATTTTAAAAGGGCTGTGAGAGAGACTGTTCCTGTACCTTTTTAATCTCTTATGGAGCAGTGTTATTATGTATAATCTGTATTACGTGTCTAGTTTATATGTAAACTGTATGAGTGTAGGTATATGGTATTTTGTATGTAAGTATATCCCTATACAGCCCCTTATATGTGTGTGTATAAAGCCATGAATGTGTGTGTGTATGGAGCCAGATATGAACTTAGATAAAAGATCTATGTAGCTATATGGCTATTTTATATATGTATAAAATATATGTAAAGCTGTATATGGGTGGGTGGGTATGTGAGAGCCTCTGTATACATGTGTGTAGCTTATGTATTAGAAAACCCATGTGATTTGTGTACCTGTGGTGATGCACCCCCCATCCCTTGCGCCATGTCAAGCTCTCAGGAATTCCTATCAAGCCTCTACGTGAGGAGTCGGCGGTGACTCAGCCCTTGACCATAGCTGCACCTCCTGCTCCCTGGCTAAGGCAGGAAGTGAGAACTGGGATAACCAGTCACCGCTGGCCGCCCTGGAATACTCCTTCCGAGTGGAGCCTGAGTGGAAAGGTACTGTTGGTACGGGAGGTTTGAAGATGTCTAGTAAGCACTAACTGGGGTTGTGGCTGGGATGGGAATGCGCTGGTGACTAAAGCCCATCATCTTGCAACCCTGTGAACCGTGGTGGCCTTTACTGCTCTCCTGGAGCACATCCCCACATGGGACCATGAGGACCATCCCTGAAAGACAGAACCTGAGGAAGTCCCCCACTTCTGGAGACTTGGCCCTTTCCCCCTGAGGAGAGTCAAGACACAAGAGGAGAACATTTCACTGACTGGAGGGGAGGTTTTAACAGGTACCTTATATATCATCTCTATGTATATATGTGCTTATGGATTGTTACAGCAACTGCAGCAAATGCTGTTGACTTATTCAGATGTGCCTTAAAACTGCACTCTGCTGACACCTGCATCCCTTCAGATGTAAACTGTTGTCCGAGACTAAGATTGGATCCAACTCACCTGGGCTCCTCTGGGAGTTTAGAGGGCAAGGGAGTCTAGTCTGAACCTTGTGACTCAACGGGAGGGTCTCCCTTACCCTTTGTGCTCTTGGTCTGTGTCAATCATTTTTAGCTTGATTGTGTATCACTGTTCCTCGGTGTGCTCCCTCCAGGCAGTAACAGGGTGAGCCTTGCTGTCCCCTTCTGTGACCTCACGCCTGTATCCATCAGTGAAAACTGCCTTTTCCATGATGCTCAGCTTAACCACTCCTCTCACAACACTACCTTGTATTATATGTAAAATGTGTGTACATGTTTAAGTATCTCATAAATGGGGGCACTTGTATATATAAAGATGTGTATATAAAGCCTATATACACACACACACATACATAAGATTGTCTCTCTACAAATTTTAAATATATTTATAGAAAATGTGCACGCATAAATTTTAGAGGTACGCAGTATTATTTGTATTTGTGTATCCCTCTGTATACATCCCAATTGTATACATTACATGGCCATATATGAAGATATATGTACATGCACACATGTATGGCTGTTTAAAAATGATAGATGAAAAGGGTGTGAGTGACCACAGCTGTGTATATACATGCGTGCATGTTCATAGGTATACTCTATTCTGTATATGTATATCCCATATATACATTCCCCATGTATATACAAATATACACATTTATATATAAAGCATTTTATATATAGATATACACACATTGTGTACTATATACGGGAAAGATATAGCCAGACACATATTCCACATATCTATCCATGTGGATAAATCTGTATGTGAAGATTATGGGTATGCACCTGTATATAAACCTCTCTAGTTAATAGGTATGTGTGTGTGTGCACATTTATGCATAGGTATATGGTGTTGGAGATGTACATCTCCATATACATCCCTTAATACAGATACAGAAAAAGGTGTGTATACACATGATTATGACATAATTTATATGTGCTTTGTTTTATATATTCCTATATTTACATTCCCTGTATATCTATACAGAGTAATGTATCTGTAAACATAAGTATGCACATGTGTGAGAGGGAATGTGCAGGTATGTTCTTTGTAGAGCTAATGATACTTATGTAGAAGGGTATGTATTACATAGTGCATGTGTCAAATGTCTGTGTGTACATATATGTCTATACATGGGGCTCCTTATACACACACATTCCCCATACCAGTAGGGATAACCTCTACAAATATTGCATGTATATAAAATTTGTGTGAACAACTATATATAGATACACAGATATATGGTACTGATGAGGTGTGTGTGCATATATATAGGTAGGTGGTAGTATTTATAGACATACAGCCTTCTGTGTTAATCCCCATTATACAGCTATGATTATATAGAGATGTGTATATGTCAGTAAAGGGGGGAGCCATATACAGGCATAATGTATTTTAAATATATGTATCTATCTGTACACATACATGGAAAAATATAAAGGGAATGGGTGTGTTTAAGAATAAATCTGTATTTAAATAGGGGACTGTTACAGAGAGCATGTCTGTGTGCATGCTCATGGCTGTGAACACACATGCACCTGTGTCTCTGCATGTCTGTTTGCCTGTGCGTGCATGTATATGCGCGTGTTTGTGTCTGTATGCCTGCACGTGCCTGTGGTTGTGTAAGCATGCGTACATGTCTGTGTGTGTGTTTCCATGCGGCTGCAGTATGTGTGCATGTGTCTGGGTCTGCATGCACCTGGGGTTGTGCAAGCGTGTCTACATGCATGCGCATCTTAAGAGTCTGTCTCCCTCTGTCTATCCATGTGTGCTTGTCTCTGTGTGTGTCTATTTGTGTCTGTCTACATTATTGGTGTATGACTGTGTCTGTATACGCATGTGTCTGTGCATTTACATGCGTGTTTGTCTGTGCATGTATGTCTGAGTCTCTGTCAATCTGTTTCCATCTGCTGTGTGTCTGTGTGCATGTCTGTGTGCGCACATGCCTGTACTATCTGTGGCATTGCATGTGTGCATGAGCGTTTGTGTGCTCTTGTCTGTGTGCATACGTGTCTGCATGTGCCTGTGCATGCATGCCTGTAGTTGTGCAAGTGCCTCCGTGTATTTGTGTCTGTATGTCTGCACGTCTGTGTTTCTACATGTCTGTCTGTGTGTCTGCCTCTTCATGTGTCAGTGCACCTGTGTCTGTGTGTGGCTTTGTGGGATGCGGAGGACCTGGGAAAAAAGGTAAACACCATGGGCTGAGGTTAGAACGGTTGTTTAATAGTGGCACAAAATATCACAATATAACAACAGTAGTAATGAGGGGAGAGGGAGAGAGGAGGAAGAAATAAACCCCCCCACACATATGGGTATATGGATAAATCGCTATATAAAGATGACGTATGTATGAAACAGGTGTGGGTGGGTGAAGGAGGCTTTGTACATACACTTATGTATTACACCTTGTGTGGATGTGCACATACAGTGTTAGCTGTATCTATAGAGATATCCCTATAATCTACTTAGAGATCTATAAAAAGGTGTGTTTGGGTACAGATTTTATATAATTTTATATGTATATAAATGTACACATACATATAGGTGTATAAATACACACATAGATGTATATAAATATATGCATATATGTAAATATATATAAATATATAATTTTATAGTCAGGCTCACATATGACATAGCTATCGCTGTGTGTGCTCAAGTGTAGTATAGTACATATCCATATATATGTATACTCCATGTGTAGCTACACACAAACATTTATATACAAAGATAAGGCTGTGTGTAGTCTATAGCTAATAATACATAGGTAAAAAGGGGAGACTATTATATAGGGTATGTATCAACTCTGTACATATGTATGTATATCATGTCACATGTGGGCCTCCTAACACACCCCCCCCCAGTATCTGTATGGATAATTTTATACATGTGTATATGCAACGTGAGAGACGGGGTACAGACACACACAAACATATATCGTATAGAATGTATGCACATGCATATAGGTATACAGTATTGGTTTAGATGTGTATTTCTCTGTAATTTATCCCCATTCTACATGTGGCTATGGATAGACATGTCTGTAAGTGTGTAAATATATGGCTATACAAATGGGGGGGGGAGGGGGGGCTGTTCCCATATAGGTATAATTTTTTTTTATCTCTTAAATGTATATGTGTGTGTATATGTATATATATACACACAGAGAAATATACACATATAAAGCTAGACAGGGTGTGTGTATTCTGCTTAATGAGAGGCAATTATATGTATTTAAAGGGAGGACAATGCATTGTATTGTATATAAAAATATCTACATTTATAGGTATTATACAAGGGGTCTTATATACACAGACACATTCCCTTTAGCTATATTTATCTCTTTATACAGAGATATCTTTGTATAAAGACTGTATATAAAGGGGAAGGTCTGGGGAGAGGAGAGACTATATATATATCTCTCTATGTATTTTATGCATGTGTGTACATGTATATAGGTATATGATAGAGATGTGTATATATAATATATTGGAGCATACATATATGGATACTGCATCTGCACGTATGTATAATTTAAAAGCTGTATAAAAAGGGGGGTTTGTGTTCATGTATAGATATGTGTAATATTTGTATATCCCTTTATATACATTCTCCATTTATATACATATACATAAATATTTCTAGATAAAGACAAGTGCAAAACAGAGCAAGTGCATGTATATTCTGTTTAAAGATAATTAAATGAATTTAAAGGGGGGACTATGTACTTTATATGTGTGGGTATATAGATATAAAAGATGTCTGTACATATCTAGGTATAACATATTACATATGGGGATTATAGAGACATATATATTCCTATATAGAGAGATAAATCTCTGTATGAAGATTATGAATATATAAAGGAGGGGACAGGGATTGTGTATCTTAGACACACCTATATATTATGAAGTACATATATGTATATTAGCCAGATTAAAAACTGTATAAATAAGGGGAGCATGTGCATTCATATATAGGTATGATGTATTATATATGTATATTCCTCTCTCTCTCTATATATATATATATATACACACATTCCCATGGCTGTAGACACTTATCTACAATATGACAGTGTTGTGTGTGTAGTCTAACAGTAGATAATTACATGTATTTAAAAGCGGGACACTGTAGTATACTTATCAAATGTTTGTGTGTACATATGTAGATACACTGTATTCTATATGCAGTTCCTTATAACTACATATAGAGTATGTGTGTGTGAGCAGCTTGTGAAGATACCTACATTGTCTGTGTGTGTATACATACACATTTGCTTAGAAAAAGGAGTATTCAATGACAAGTACATGGAGGTACTTGGAGGGGGGAGAGAGACCATGTAGTTGTGTTTGTGAAGGCAAAGAAAGATCTGTGCATATATCCATATAGGTTTAATGTATGATATATAGAGCTCCATTATATATACACACATTTCTTCATATCTATATGGGTATATACAAAGATTGTGTGTATATAAAAATGTGACTGTCTGTGTGTGTATATACACATTTAATACGTATCTATGTAAACATTTAAATAGTATCACATACGTCTACATGTTAATAGCCCTCTCCTACATCCTGATTGTACATGGATATACAGAAGATGTGTTCATCTAGGCCCAGGGATATTTATTTCTTTTTAAAGCTGTATTAAGTAAAGGGTTTTGGGGTATGTAATAATGTATAGATATATTTTCATATATATACACACACACTGAATTTATATACCTTATTTGCATAGACACACAACATGTATGTATGTAAGGGGTGTGTGTGTATAGTTAGAGAATATATAATTATAGATGTGTATGTATGCACACTTTATATAATATGTATACACAGCTGGAGGTATATTATTTATAGATGTATATACCCATTTTGTATATATGGCTACATGTGTTTGTAAAGCTGGGTGTATCCATATGTGTGTGTATCTACATGCATATGTATCTAAAGCAAGCCCTGTAACTAAGGGGGAGGTGGTACGTACATAGCTATATTACGTAGGTAAGTATGAAGCAGAGAAGCTCTAGGTGAGGGCAGTATGCACTCTACTCACGGGCTGTGGCCCTCCCCACCGGCAGTACTCACTGCTCTCTGCTCTCTTCCCTGCAGACAGCGGTGTCCCCGAGGCAGCCATCTGCGTGGTCACCACCGCCGCCATTGACGTCCATCACCCCAACATCTCGTCCGACCTCTTCACGGTGGAGGTGCCAATGCGCCTGGGCAGCACCGGGACATCCGCCAGCGTCACATCGGGCAGCGCCTCGCGCTCCACCGTCAGCTCAGGCACGCAGGCCTGCAGCGAGAGCAGCCAGACACTGGGCTCCTCCCCAGACTGCAGCACGGCCTGCGAGGACACTGCTGAGGCTGGTGCTGCCCCACGGGCTGACCTCGCGCCCACGCGGCAGCGGGTGGCCCACGCCATGGTGCAGGAGCTGCTCTCATCCCTGTCGGAAGAGGCCTGCCTGGCGCAGAAGGGGCTGGATCCTGTTAACCTGAAGCTGCCCAGCCCGGCAGGCTCGGCAGCGTCCAGCCCCAACCTAGGCCACCGCCTCAGTGTCTACAACTGCAGGAACCAGGAGAGCCTCAACGTGTTCCAGCTCAAGCCACTCATCGACTGCCCACAGGCTGCCCCACTGATTGATGACAAGTTTGGTGCACTCGGGCCCCCAGAGCCACAGCTGGGCAGGGTTCCCAAGGCATAAGGAGAGGCTGGGGGCAAGGGACAGCTGTGGGGACACGCTCACTGTGCCAGGCCACATGGCTGCCACAGGCAAGGTGGCACTGCTGGAGGCAACCTGTGGCATCTCCTGCAGCTGGGGGACGAGCCACCCTCACTTCTACCTGCCAGTGCTCTGATGGTGCGTGATGGACCTGCCATGCCACCAGCTCTGGGCCAGCTGCGACCTACGGTGTCCTCTGGGGCACAACGGACCTTCCAGCAGTCTTGGGCCAACACGGACCCACAGTGCCTGCGGAGATAGACAGACAGTGAACCTGGCCCAGGGGCAGGACAGAGCTGCTGGACAGCTTGGGCCCAGCCTGGCCCCCAGCCTGAGCACGGCTGGGAAGGGGAATGGGGAACAAGAATAAACACTGCGAAACAGACACTGCCTCCTGCCTCATATCCCTTGTTCCCTTTCCTCCCTTCTCTTACCTGCCTTCCCTGTCTTCCTTTCTTCCACTCCATGCACCAACTCACTGTCCACCAAAAGAAAGAACCCACCACCACAGTGACCCCACCTCTTTCCAGTACAATCCTTTATTTGCCCTTATTCTCCACCCCAGCTCCAGTGCAGGGTCCATCCCCGTCACTCACTTCTTCTTCAGGAGCTCCGTCATCTCTGGCACCGCCTGCAAACACCAGTGCTGGGGTAGGGTGTGCTCTCCCTCTGAACACACCCCCCCCCCCCCCCAAGTTCTCCCCCTGCAGCACCCAGCCCCCCATTATGCTCCCCACCCTCCCACCCCTCATGCTCAGCACAGCACTCCAGGGGCTGTGGGTCACCCCAGCTCACAGCCCTCCCCACTTCTCTCCTGCTGAATAAAGCTTCTTAATTATTTAAGAGCGCTGCATTTCCATTAGGTGGAAATAATGCATTCGTACAAAATTTATTAAGGAAATTGTCTACATGGTGTTTCTTCAGCATGCGACTCTGGCTCACAGGAAGGCCTGTGCTCGCGCCGAGCCAGCGCGCACTACTGCGGCAACGGCATTAAGTGCTGGCAGCGGTTCTGCCCGCACCGCTCACCGAGCCCCGGCACGCTCCCGCCAGGCACACGTGTGGCCGTGTGCACACACGTGCCATAGGCGGGTGCGCATGGGCTGGCTCACAGCACCGCTCTCTGAGAGCTGCGAGCTCCTCACGAGCAGCAGCCCAGGCAAAAGTCATGACTGTGCCTGCCACCAGCACTGCGAAGTCATACTTCGTGAAGCTTAAAAACAGATGCGAGCACCTCACGGCCAGGAAACTAGAACAGAGCAGCCTGGCTGTGACACCCCCAGCGCACCTGACTGATGGCTTCTATGTGCAGGGATCCAATTTTAAACATGAAAATAAATCAGAAAGGAAATTCTTTACCAAACCCACCTAAGGCAGACTTCACAATACAATCTGGTCAGTGATATCTGAGCATTGCTAGCACAATGAACCAGTTATCCCACACAGCTCCGTGTTTAGCCTCACCTGAAATAAGTCTGCCACCAGGCCAAAGTCTGCCACTTGGAATATTGGAGCTTCTGGGTCCTTGTTAATAGCAACAATGGTCTGCAAGAAACAGTAAATCACCATGTGAAAGTTATATATAGATATGAAAACAAAGAGATAGAGATTAACGTCTAGGGCTGGCTCACATTGACAGGCCTTATTCAGGAAGCCAAACTAAGTTTTTCCCAAGCCCCTACAAGCAGAAGACAGGGCTAGCAGCATTTTAACATCTTCTCCTCCTCAAAAAAAAAATTAACCACCAGCAACAAACACATCCCCCCCTAAAACTCCATCTCAGCTCCCTGTATACATCAGGGCTATCCTCCCCCGTTGAGGAGTCTAGAAACAAAATACTACAAATGATTACCTGCCAGCTCTAAGCACCATCATCACAGAAATAACTCATTTAAAACCAGCACAATATAAACTGTGCCTGAAGGGACACATCATTTGATTTGTCGCACAGCAGAAAAACGCAGATGGTGGAAACCCCAATGCATTGGTCCAGGTAAACGTGTCTTGGTTCAAACTCTGCCACCCAGGTAAATCATTCTGTAACTTCTGAAACAGCGTCTCACAAAACAAACACACACGGGAGTCCCCTCAAAATCTATACCAGGATGGTGAGCACTCCATAAAGGATGGCGGGGGGGAGGACAGGAGCTTGTGAAATGAGCCTTGCACCAGTGTGGGGTGAAAGCACAGCACTCCACTCCACTACTGCCTTTTCATCCTGAGCTGCTTTGAGCTGCTCCCAGCCTCTTCAGCCAGCTCTAGCCCTGCAGCTGTGTGTGTGTGACACACACAGACCTGTCCTTCCCAGGCAGCCACAGCTCAGGCCTCTCCCTCCCCTGACTGTACTCATGCACCAGACTCCACAGCTCAGTAGCACATACCTCATAGCAGTCACTCAGAGGCAGAAGTCTGCAAACCCTGTGGGGTTAGGCCCCATAAACATTTCTTTTATTCTCAGGCCATCTGTACCCTGTGACTCGCTATAAAGAAGGACCACGGCATAATGCAAGAAGGAAGCACCTGCAGCAGAGCCCTGCTGCTGCCCTCCTGCCAGCTCGTACGCAAAGACCTGCACACTCTGCAGTAATGCTTCCCCCAGAATCTTCTTCCCGAAGTTCATTGGCTTTAGTTCAGTCCCCCCCTTTGTGCACTCAAGCGCAAAGCGGCAAAACCCAGGTGGTATCTGCTCAATAAAGACCTGAACTATCCTCTGAGGCCCCACCATGCTCTGCAGAACCCATCACAGGGCACAACACCCAACGCTGAGGGAAGGAGGCCACCTGGGGCCTGCCGCCTCTGTCCTCGTCACCAAATAGGCAAAGACACCAATTGCTTGTAAAACTGTTTTCATCTTTAGTTTGGCAGCCCAGTTCTTCCTTAGTCTCCATTCATTAGCTAAAATAACTTCACATGAATGGCTTTGGATGGAAAGGACCTTAAGATCATCCAGTTCAAGCCCCTGCCACCTGGTTCTCCACCTCATCACTAGATCAGATCTTCCATAGCAAGAAGCAAATGCATCACCCTGCTTGCAGCTGACCTTTGCGAGTTACATCTGTTAGAAAGAGAAGCTGCTGCAACTGCCCCATGAGGGAATGGAAAACGAGGAAAGCAAGCAGCGCCGATTCTCCATGTCTCCTCTAAAGCTGCATTTCCTACCTTGCTGTAAAAGGACAAATAAATTATACATCTCACTTGGCAGAAAGCATCTGACGTACCCTGAAGTGTCCAAATTCACAATGCCAGACAATTCACAGTGCTGAGGGAAGAGAGGGGGACACTCCAGAGCTCTCCCATGGCTGTGTAATGCTTTATGTTTGTAAGAGCTGCATCTTTTCAGTAACCACACATCTACGCTCTGGCTAAAGGGAAAGCAAACACAATTCAAACTGAATGTCTCAGTACATTTGTTTACACCAGAAAACATATGAGATACGGGAGCAATGGAACCGTTACGTACGGATCTCATAGCCACACACTCCACGTGTCCTCATTTCCTGTGAGGGAACACCTCAATATCCAATATGGAATTGGAAAAGCTAAAAAAAGTAGAGGTTTCGCTATTACGCTACAGGACAATTATTGCTGCCCAAGAGTTTCTATTCAAAGGTAATTCTGGCACCTGAAGTCATCTATTCCTGTAACAGCCTTTACTGCGATAAGGCAGGAGGTGAGTACAGAAAGGGTCAGATTCCAGTTTTAAGCAGCTCTGAATGCACGTTTCTCAGGCAATGGCTGACACTAATCCCCGCTGCCCACCTTCTCCCCCACCCCAAAGCACAGCTGGAGAACACGCATCTCAAAACAAAGACACTCTTAACAATACTGTGGCTCATCAGCCCTGGACTGGAGGATCAGATGGAGGCTCCACAGGGGTGCTGTACCCCAAATCCAGCTCTCATGATTTTCCCCTCCAAAATATGTAAAGGATATATGCGAAAAGCACTCAACCGTAAGGCAGCACAGACCATCCCACACACAGGCTGGCTTCTGAGAACAACCCCAGTCCCACCCAGACATGTAAACTCGCTAGTCTGTCACTGGTTAAGTGCAAGGATCTGCCTGTGCATATCTGCGAGCCTTTTCCTCAGCTTTAGAAGCTGTTCAAAGTTCTGGGCTTGGTTCCTGCCAGAAAGCACAAGGTCAATCCCTGGAAATAGAAAAAACTATATATCCTCTTTCTAAAAGGATCTGTGGGAGGCGAGGACAACCCACAGGGGTTTATGTCTGGCCCTGGACCGTGTGATGCAGCAGGTAATTCTGCTCCTCTTCCCCAACACGGCACCGTGGATCCAACAGGCATCTCCCACCCCGCATTATGTGCTTAGGCAACTAATGAGTTAAACCTTTTAAAGTTTTACTGCCAGTTTATAATAGGTTTCCATTTGAATGGCTAAATGCAGGAATGTCAGAGACATCTTTTTCTTTATGGAATCCTAAGTTCATGAATCAGATTGCACATTGTTATGCATGAATTACTATGTCATCCTCTGAAACAAACACAACTGGAGCTATTGTATAGAATTCAGGCACACATGGGTTTGTTGGGTTTTAAATAAGCAAAGTCAATTAGCTGCTGCTACTTACTGCTTTGGGCTGTGGAGCAATGCATTTCCTGGTTAGGTGTTTTCCAGAGTATCTGGTTTTGGCAAGGCTGAGAGGACTGACATATTTTAAAGCAGACAAACTGGCTATTTTAACGCTTAAAAACCTGGAAAACTGGCTAATGTACTGATGTAAAAGCAAGGAAGTCCCCTCCTTTCCTTGCTCAGCAATCTCTTCCAGCACACCCATCTTTACATACCTTGCTGTCTTTCATTCCAGCCAAATGTTGGATCGCTCCAGATATTCCCACAGCAATATAAAGTTCCTAGACAAAAACAAAAGTGAGACATTTTTGGTACCCGTGACAGTTTCCTTCAGCTCTCTCTCTTACTCAGCACCAATTACATGCAGTAGTTTTTACATTACAGAAGGTGTCAGTATTACAGGCAGTTGATGACTGGTTCCCTTCCCCACTTGGGGATTCTCCATTTACAGTTGGATCCCAGAGGAGCAGCTGGCAAACACTGGTGAGAAAAGAAAAACAGGTAAAGGCTGCATCAAGCCTAAGACACTGCTCAGTTAGCAGACGGCACTCAGTGCTACTACCCATGACCCTGGTGATTCCCAGCACAAGTATTAACCAAGATAACATATGGATAACGCAGTTGCCTGAAGAGAAACCCTAGGCTTTTGTTTGCAGCCTTTTGGATCCTTTAAATAAGACAGAATGCACAAAGCTGAAATCCAGATGTTCATACTGGCAGGACAAAACACCTCAGATCCTGAAGCTGGCTAGTGCACTTGTTAGTGACAGAACCACAGAATGGTTTGGGATGGAAG